CCCACGCCTTCCCGGACCCTGCGCCCCAGCCTCCCCAAAGCCGCCGGGGGTGCGCGCGCCTGGGTGAAGGGGGGTCACCGGCTGGCCGGGATGGCTTCCAATTTTAATGACATCGTGAAGCAAGGGTACGTGAGGATCCGGAGCAGGCGCCTAGGGGTAAGTATCGATCCTTTATGGATTCATGGATTTCCCCGTTCGCCGGTTCAATTGTCTTTCTCCTTGGCCAGCATCCCTGGAGGGAGCAGGATTTCGGGGCGCTCTCCGCCGGGACCCGCACCTTCGCGGCGGGCGCCGGAAGGCCAGGTCTAAGGTATGCGATGGCTCTATCTTTATCTCTCCCAGACCTGGCTTTCCCATGGTGGCCGCGTGGTCGGCTTCAGTAGCCGCTGGAGCCCAAACGCTCGAAATAAATATTTCTCGGTAGCCATGGGAGTTAGGGCTGAGAACCGGGGCGGGGTGCTGAGCCTGCCGGAGGCCCCCGGTGTCCCCTCTTCCCACTCGCCGCCCACGTAACTTTTCCCGGGGGGTGGGGGGCGATCGGCTGGCTGGCTGTGAACGAGGTCAGCGACCCTCTGACCCCAGGGAGACGTTTCTGCCCAGGGAAAGGTCTCTTCGGACTCCGGGTCCTGCACAGTGACCCGGCGCCGTCCCAGGTGCTGGCAGAGGAGGTGTGGGTGGCCCCCGGCTGGGCCAGCGTGGGGTGGACACCCGAGTCTGAACGCGCCCCTGTCCTTAGCCTGGGCGATGGGGTTCTGCTGCTCGACACAGTGGCACCCCCTGGAAGATTACTCAGGGAGGAAGGTGACACCTGACTCGGAGCAAGTGCTCCCTAAATACGTCCGGAGAGAGAGAATGAGCGAACCCGAGGGGACTCGTGGAGACATGTTGGCGCAGGGGTGGCGCCTCTCCTAAAACTCCCTTTTTCCCTTTTCTCTTCATCGATGGGACTTCAGAGGACACTCTCTCTGCTTCTCTTTGGGCCAGAGTGTCGGCGGAGGAATTCCTGAGGGAGGGGAGGATACTGGAATTTTTCTTTCTTTCTTTCTTTTTTTTTTTAGTTTTGAACTCCCTCATTTCTCTTTGCCTTGTGTCAAGTGTTGTTGCTGTCTTTGTTTATTGTGTGCGTTTGGCAAGGAGGTGGGGGAGGAAAGTATACTTGGGTCGTGTCTGAAAGCCCTATAATATCCGTAATGACGTGGCATGGCCCCCCTGGGGGGAGAGTTACGGTGATAAACGTCTTTATCCACAAATATATGTCATTGGCACCTTTCTCTTATTTGGTTTTTGGACCCTTTTTTTTTTTTTTTTTAAATATGCCAGATAATTTTAATGAAAATCGAAAGGAAATTTTACCGTGGTAAATAGCCAGGGAGGAAAACCTGGTTATCGGAAACATCTGTAATTATTAAAAACTCTTGCCTGACTTGTTTTGGTTTCTTTTCTTGTCTTTCTTTCTCCCTCCCTCCCTCCCTCCCTCCCTCCCTTCCTCCCTTCTTCCCTTCCTTCCTTCCTTCCATCCATCTATCCATCCATCCATCCATCCATTCATCCCTGATGGTTACCATGTTTTTGTTATCGTGTTTTCTTTTAGTTATCCTGTCATTGTGAATATATAAATACATCACCAGGGAGGAAGGTAACAGAACTAACCAGTCCCTATCAGCCCTGCCTGTTTTCTTGATTTTCTATTTTGCTGTGCACAGATTCTCATCAGCACGATCAACTATTGTTGGAGTAGTTACCTGAGTGACTCTCATGCAAAGGACGAGAAATGATAGAAACTTTATATCTTCGATAACCTTACGGGCCAGCCAGAGTGTTCCAGTATTAAAGGGAGCTTTAAAAAACACCAGTCTAATTTTAGATTTACTCCATCATGTCAACTGAGGAAATTGTTAAGAGATATCCATTCTGTGTCAGGAGCATTCCAACAGGAAGAAGACATGCATTATTAATGCTCAAACTGTGAATTATTCATAAGGATCAGGGTTTATGCCAAATTGTGACACATGGTGATTTATTTGAAAGAGTAGTTACCATAATTTTCTAGCTTATGGTAATTGAGATTATCTTTCTGTAGTATTACAGCTGACACAATATAGTCTTATGTGCATGCCAATGTTTATGGACAGGTATTGGAAGCAGAAGGAAGAGAAAAATAGTTTTAGTTTGCATTCATTTTATATTTAACAGTATTTTGGATGCCAGCAGCGAGTATACTTTCTCAAGATTTATTCATTGTCTGTGTGAACACTCGGATACATTTTAGAATATCTGTTGAATGATGGTCATTGCTCATGGAGAGAAAAGGTCAAAAATATAATCAAACAAATCTGATCCTACTTATTAACATTGGTGTCATCACCAGTTAATTTTTAAAAAGTGTTCTCATGATATAGTTTGTCTACACAAACCAAGGAGGTTGATTACAGAGTTGTCAGAAGATAGTGCCAACTAAAGTTTTAAATGGAGACTGTAAGTAATGCCTTACAGGTGAAGAATGTCTCAGGGAAATGGTACAGGGACCTTCTGTCCAAAGAAAGAAATGCTGATGGACCCAGCTAGGCTGCACATAGCCTAGAACAGCATGCAGCACGCGTAAGTGTCTGGGAGAGGTAGGGAACGGCGTCTGGTACAGAGCGGGCACTCATCAAGTGCACGTCGAAATAGGCGTTGAACTACAGAGTGAACGCGTGACTTTGCAATCCATAAGCCTCTTTAAGCACTGATATGACATAGTGATTTTATTAATGGAATCCAGACAAGTGTCTGCAGATTAGAACCATGTTTAGGAGGGTTTATAATTAAACAAGAAAACAACATTTCGTGGCGAGCAGCTGCAGTGCCAAGAAATACTCCCTCGGATTTGAGAAAAGAGGAAGAGAATAGATTCTGCTTATTCCTCGTGAGTTCTGTGGCCCTTGCCGTCTCTCGGCCTTGGTTTTCCAATCTGTACAGCGAACGCTCTTTTGTTATGTTGGGAGCATTCAGTAAGATGCCTTTGACAATGCAGCGAAAGCGTACAGCATTGATTCTGACTGTGTTATTTCTTTAATGTAATCAGGGATGAGTTACGATTAGTGGGAGGATATAGGGATTACTGATTTCTTTATCTTTATTTCTCCAAGTGTCCAAAGGCATAGATGTTTATGCATGGTAGACGTTCTCATTGGATGAGACTTTTACAAATTGCATCCATTTAAGTGATTTTTAAATGGGACAGGAAGCATTCTAAGACCATCGCCATTCCAATGGGTCGCGGGTAAGTGGTTATGTACAGTTGAGATCCTAAACAGTTTAAATGATTAAGCAATCAAATCTGTCTTGACTTTTTTCTTTAAACGTTGCAAAGCTTAATGAAATTCAACTAGTGTAACTCAAGTCTCAGTATCTTTACATATTCATTCTCCAGCTTAATCTCCATTGGTTCACAGAGGTCTCAAGCTTTGCCCTGGTAATGTTCAGGAATGTCCACGTTACTATTTGGGGGGCTGTGGGGAGGGGAGGGGGAGCAGCTGTCTACAATTGTTCGGCTAATTCACGAAAGGGCCTCAAAGTTTATTCTTGGGTGACTGACGAATCAGGCGATTGGCACATCATTAACCCGGCTGAGTATGTGGCTTGCACAGCACATTTGAACTGTCCTCTCTTGGTTTCTTCCTTTGCAACTAAGAGAATTTCCCAATCAGTAATTGCTGTGTCTTGTCTACAGTCCAAGCCTCAGACTTATTCTCTGTGTCTACACTCAATCCCTCGATGACTCGCCTTTAAATAGCATCTCTATGCTTTTGTGTACCAAGGACCTCCTGTCCTGTCCTTCCCACATCTCCGCCCGGAGGTCTGATGCCTCAGACTTAATGCATCCAGACCTTTGATTGTTTTATGCAGACCGGCTTCTACTGGAGCCTGCATCTCAGCCATTAGAGACCCCAGCATTTTAGTTGCCCTGGTAAAAGTCAAGGCAGCAAGCAAGCAGGCGATCAAACCCCCTGTCTTCTCTCTCTCCTTCCCTTATCTCTTGCTCCCACAACTAATCCATCGGGAGATTTCGTGGGCTCTGTCTTTGAAATATATCTAGAATCTGACTATCTCACACCATTCACTACTGCCACCCTGGTCCGAGCCCCCATCCCGTCCTCCCTGTTATGTTGCAATAACCTCCTAACGTGTGTCCCTGGCTGCTCAGGCCACCAAGGGCTTTCCCCGCAGTTCAGGGTAAAAGCTTTACAGCGAGCTCTGAGGCCCTGTGCTGACTCAGACCCTTTCCTATTGCTGTCCCCTCTGCTTGGAATGCCATTCCGCCCCCACCCCCCATCTCCTCCTGGTTCCCTCCCTTACCCCCTTTCAGCCTTGCCTCAAATGCCACCTTCTCACTGAAGCCTTCCAGACACCCGATCTTGTTTCTTCCTTCCCCTCCCATCCCTTCCTTTTTTTCTCTCTGGACTTATCACCTCCATCATGTAGTGGCCTGTGTATCCCCAGATAACACGGAAAGCTCCGCGAAGGCTGGGAATTCTCTATCTTTTAATTATATTACAGCCGAACCCCAGTGCCTGGAACAGTGCCCAGCACAGAGCGGGCGCTCGATGAAGATGTATTGAATGAATGAATGAATCCATCACTACGTACTGGTTTAAATGCATATTCTCTGACACGAGACTGACATGAGTTGATTCCAATTCAGCGACCGGGTAGGTGACTTTTGATGAGTTATTTAACATTTGTAAGCCTCAGTCTTTTATAGAAATAGGGAGACTCATAAAACCCACCTAATAGATGATCCTCATAAAAGAGCTTAACACATGCTTGATACAGTGGAAACCCAATGAATGTTTATTACTGTTTTCACTCTTACTGCACGTGGCTAGAGGACAGTGACGCTTAGGTCGTTTCTGTTGTCACTGCTTCTGTTGAAATAGCTCTCATCCGCAAAGAACTGGCTCTTTAGTTCAGAAAACAAACAGTGTCTGTGGAATAATTGACACACAAGGATAAATAGTGTTTGGCACTGGTGCTAAGGTATAGAAGGAATATTTGCCCTCATGGGATTTTTCATGCTCCTTAGGTAAATGACAAAGATGTCAAGGCCAGAAAAAGTCATTTCCATGTAACTTTGGTTTGCGTGAGCTCATCAGACAAGGGGGTATTTCTGTTCA